GAGAGAGAGAGAGAGAGAGAGCGTTGCGCATTCGACGCGGATTTATCCTTCGACTGGAAAAATGCTAATTTTATCGGCTTCTTTCCTCGAATCCTCCTCCACTACTCTAGGGATAAATTTGCTGTAAAGAGCAAAATACATCAAAGCGAGGTAATTTGTGGAATTTATTTTTTTTTTTTTTTTGGATCGAAGAATTTGATCGGAGATCGGTGGGATATTTTAGACGAAGGATTAATCTTCGTATACTATCTTGTAAAGAAAAAAATAACTCGAATTTAAATAAAAGAATATTCGTAGTGATGGAATTTCTTGATATTCTCAACAGTGAAATCGTGAAAATTGAACGATTAAAAATTTTTGCGCTATCTAACGTCATTATAAAATAGAATTATTTTTGGTTTCGATGACACAATACTCGAGATCGCGTATGAAAACACTTCATTCACTATCCAGTTTATTAATCTTGAAAAATACTCGGAACAATCGTATATATCTCCATTACAAAGAAGAAATTCATTTAAAAATCATTATATCGGAAGGAGCTAAAATTAATTCAAGGAAGAATTATTCAACAACTTTTCCGAAGCTAGAATATTGTTGCAAGTTATCCTGTTGACTCGTCAATTGAAAGAGAAGAAAAACTGTACAACGTTGCGTTTATAAATCCGTTCTAATAAACGACCAAGATTATTTATGACTCTGTTATGCGATAACGAGATATCCAACCACGGAATCGTCTCGAGAATCCATGTTAAGTTAATTCTCTTGAATTTTTAACGAAAAGAAAATCTACGAAATGTAAAATTAATAGTAAAATTCTCATATTATTTTTAATAATATTTCTTTCATGAATCACAATATACTTATATTTTTACTATATTTTATTATATTTATCGTAAAGTATAAATCTACATTTTTCTACATTTTCTCACAAATGCATGCACAATCTACTCATGGTCGGACAATAATTCTTCTGCAACTTTAACCATCCAACTCTTATTTACTATACTCTTTTACTTATACAAATACCTCTTTACTATACACGCATATAAGTATAAATATATATCCCTATACATTTCGATAAATGCACATCGCAATCTACACATTACTGTCTCTACAAATTTATTACATTCCTACTGTATCTACTTATCTACTAAATAATTATAAAAATACATTTACATACCTTTCAATTTTCTATAAATCCACAATCTAATTTACGACTACATAACCTCAGCTTCTTCGATTTTCATCTTGCAAGAAAAGAGGAGTTAATTGCGAGACAGAGGAGACAGAAGAAGTTTTCCAACCAGTATACAACTTAACAC